CCTTTTATAGCTCCATTGATTTATTAACAAGGAATTATTCAAACCTGCATTTTTAAATAGTTGTATAAATAACTCCAAGTGTTCTGAAGGGACTTGACCCTCCTATCTGTATCTTTACAATTTCATTTTAACTATAAGTAGAACTGTATTTGGGCAGACTCACATGTCATGCTAAGCCACCCCTGCAGATAAGCTTTTATAGTCTGGGTTATATATTGAATAACCCATGGTACACCTGTCAGACAATCATGTTTGCTGGAGCTTGTTCTCCCTTTTCTTTCCCCCAGTCATCTCTGGTCAATTTCCTTTTAGGTTCAGCTGTCAAAAGGCACTATGGAGTAGAAAAGGGAACAAGAAGAGGCTAAGCTTCCTAACAGTTAATTTTCTAGCAGTAGCAAAGGATTGGTGAAGACATAATGATACAGGAAAGGAGGGACCTGGTAGATTAAGTCATATGTACTGAAATTAAGGGAGGAAAGACAAGGAACTAACCACACCAACCAGGGTGGTGGTGGTGGGGAACGGACAATATCTTCCCCTTGGCCTTGTGTTCCTCTTGCTTTTAAGAATTGCACTAAGACTTCTCAGTGCCTTTCACTTTCCTGACTCTGACTACTCCAGAAAGGGCAGATATTCCTCCTGTCCTTGTTATAGCTCATTTTGGAGCAATACAGTTGTGGTTACTGCAGTTCCCTGATAATGTGCTGTGTGTATGTTTAAACTCCTGTGTGTATGTTTTTTTAAAACCCTGTAGGGAATGTTTGTGCAATTTTTGGACTAGGAAGACAAATGTATGCAAATTTAATGGCTGAGAAGATGGAGTGAATGTTTGCTGCTCTGTTTCAAGAGGTGCACAGAGTTTTTGTCTATTTAACTCCCAGGCAAGCCAAAATAATGCACAAATATTCCAGATAAGGTTTTTTTTTTAAAGTATGCCTGGTTTCTCTCACTATTATTTGTCTTCCAGTTCTTCTCAACAGTGTTAGTTTCCTTGTTTCTTGGTATGTTGCCTACTTTGATGCTCCTTTTGACAGTGAAATAAACAAAGATATTGACCAAATTTGATGAAACTGAAGGGAGGGGTGCTGGCTGGCTAGCTGGCTGGCTGGGGAATGTTGGGAATTACAGGGGGTTTTTTCCTCTTCCTAAACATGTATAGGATTGCATCCTTAAATTATTGAGCCTGACAAGGGACATTTTTCAGTTCTGGCCAGAATGTCTGGGGCCAGAACTGAGGTTAGCTCCTATACCATGCCCATGGCTTCTCCTTGTCCCCTCCTGCCCTCAGTTGGGCAGGACTATTACAATGTCTGAAAATGACCTTTTCAGGTCAGGGTTTAGGAAGAATTAGGAATCAGGAAAAGAATTATGCTTCACTGGTACAGACAGACAGATACATAGATAGAATGTTTTTACAAGGAGGGCATGGGACTGGGACCCTTGTTTCTCAAAACAGTCTCTTTCTCCCTCCCTCTTCCTCTTTTTTAGACATCTCTCCTTTATTACACCTAAAATGTATTGTACTTGCGGTAGTGATTAGTTGAGCTAATCTGATGCCATGAAATGTAGCAAACATTCCAACTACTTTGAGAACAAAGCTATCAACATTTGCAAGCCAGCTTCTGTGAGGCAAGGAAAGTTTTCATTTATTTACTTAAACATTTTTACCCTGTTCTTCAACTGTGGATGGGATTCCTTGAGTAGTTTACATTGGTTAGAAGTAGTAATTAAACAAAATGCACCAGTCATCTACATAATGGATGACAGAATTAAACACAAGTTTTCCCAGAATAAAAATTCCTATTTCAGCCTAGCCAAATTCTTTATCACATTTAACACTTGGTGAATCTCCATGTAAAGTTGGTATAACAGGTTTAGGTAGGGTTAACTTTCATAGAAACTGTATTAGCTCTGAGGGGTCTGCGAGATAGGTCCCGTATGGTATGGGATCTTAAATGGCTGGGTATTCAGTAGACAACAGACCAGGACCCCTCCCATTGGCACTAGCCTGCATAGCTGTTGATGAGAAGAAATTGGCAGAAATTGTAGGCACAAATATTTGGAGGGCTGCAAGTTGCCCACCTCTGCTATACATGGTAAAATGGGAAACTAAAGGGGTGGAGGGGATGAAAAAGACTTGATTAAAGGAACAGAGGAGACAGAAGGAGACTAATGAGAGAAGAGGCTCTTAAGAAATGTTGCATTCTTAAAATCAGGATGTTTCATATACTATGGAATACTTTTGGAGTATAACCAAGAGATGAATGAAAGGATATGAGACAAAGCAGATATTGTCTAAAGCACAGTGTGGGGAAACAAAGGGTGGTTAAGGCACAGGGCTGAAATAAGAAATAGCCAAGAACTATGTACAACTGTGGCAAAACTTCGCTTAGGGATAGTTGGAAGCAAAGTGCTGTTGCCTGAAAGGAAATTGGTATTTAAAGGATTTCAGGGCTGGAGATTGTGGAAAAGGAAGATAAGGAGGCATGAGGGTCTCTGTCTGTTTTTCATTTATTTACATGTTGGATTTGACATGTTGGAATTGTTACCGTTGTGGTTACTGTTTCTAAAAGAATTGACAGTACATTCATCTATTTAAACTATGTTTCTATTGCCTATCAGTAAAAATCCCCAGGATTATTTACATAAGAAGAAAATGTAGGCAGTACATGGAGCCAGTTCTTGATTAGGATTAACTTAAGTGTTGTTTCTCCCGCTGTTGCATTTGATTTGCCAAGCCAGGTAATTAGTTGCAATAGAGCATGTTAGTGGATTTGATGTTATGCTACTGAAAAGAAGTAAAATAGCCACTGAAAAGATTGGACTACTGAGTGGTTCACAAGATCCAGTGTGACTAGCCATAGCCATATTTTGCTATTGTTTCCTAGAATTGAAGAGAATTTTACAGAGATCTATGTAGGTGTTGCTATACCAGGAGGTACAGTAGCTAAACTTGTTTTTCAAGTTTAATTGTTTAGATTTTTTTTCCAAAGTGCCAAGCAATTCTGGGTATGTACAAATTCTTTAAAGCACAGTATATGTAAACAGTAAGCATTTTTAGAAAGATGTGGAAATATACAGTAGTTATACTTGGAAGGTAAATATTTCACTTTCTGATATAAAATCAGTCCATTCTTCATAATATTTGTCTCTGTAGAGGTCCATAGTCTATTGCAAAGATTCAAAATGATCACACTCTAGAGGAGATCTAAAGTTAGTTAGCTTATGTTATTTTGCCATAATTTAAATGTCAAAATGGGATTGCATTTTTTAAAAAAAATTAAAATACAACATTAAATAGATACCAAAATAAGTCTCTTACTAACTCTGGCAAGCATGTGTATGTAGAATGTGGGTGCATAACTGAGCTAAATTAACTCCTTAACTGTTTTGAAAAATAGAGTAAAGGCGCAGTAATTTTAACTTTACTATTATGTCGTTCATTTTGATGATATTCTTGTTTCTTTAAAATATAGGTTATTTTTAATTAATAAAAACACAGTTACCCCATTTAGGCATGACAACAGCCTCTGTGCATATCACCCACAGAGGGTTGGTTGTTTTTGGCAGTGGAAGCCTCCAGCTGAGGCTGGAAGCCCTGTTTGTAATATTGGGACAAAGAATAATAATTTTTAACATCTTCTTTGCCCATGTAGTGTAAATACAGCTTGCAGTGAAATGGGGGATGATAGGGAAGCTGATTGGGCACCTTGTCCCTGTTTCAGAGGAGACCTGTGGAGCAGGAAGTGGGAGTGTCTGATCTGCTCAACATCAGCCCACAAACATGGGACTGTGCCTCAGGACAGATCATCAGCTCCTGCATGGGAGTTCTGCTTGGAGAAGTTTGGGGTGCCCAAGCCACTTGGAAGCACTGCCTCAAGCACAGGGCAGCCATGCAAAGCAGATCTCTAACCCTCATCTCTCAGTAAGAGGAGCTTTCTTAGTGCCTTATCAACTCTGTGCTGCTGCCCCAAGTGCAGCCCTGCCAATGGCTTGGGAGGTCTTTTCTCGGACTGTGGGCACAGTTGGCCAGGATCCACTGCACCTTGCTGAGGCAGTGTGTACCACCGTGGCAAAGAGTAGTGGTTCCTGGTTATCCTGAGTTTTTTTAGCAAAGATGCCAGCAAAGATCTCTGTTCCTTCTTGTCAAGGGGGCACCCCCCTCTACATTAAGGAAAAGCTGATCGCAGCCGTCTTTGCTGCAGTTCAAGAGAAGACTTCACAAGCTGTCAGTGATGCTTCCTCAGGAGAGGCAAGGGTTTTTTCTCCATTCTTTCCAAATAGATTGCTGGCTGTTGGGACTTACACACAGTGCATTGTATATCTCTGGGTTCAGATGGCAAGTACAACTCACCATGGGTGACAACAGCCCTAAACTCACGTGTTCTCAGGATGCGATTTTTTTTCCAGGGTGCGTGATGCAGGCTATGTTCACATGACATAGCAATCTGACATGGCGTCCCATGGCAAATCATTGTGGATTGTTATTTTATCTGAATTTAGTCAATCTGTCACATCCAGTTTCCTGTAGTAGCAGGAACATTCCTTGTGTTTGTCTTAGGATATTCTAGCTAGCAGAAAAAAGGGGAAGATGATCCTTGATCCATTTCCTCCTTTCTTTGGAACTTCCTGTGCCATCTGCCCCACTCCTCCAGTGAATCCCCTTACCCCTTACAGCAGATTTTTGAGAGTCATGAGAGGGGAATGCAGGATGAGGGGGAAAATGTCAAAGATCACTTTCACCCCAGTTCTGCTAACAAAAATGTTCCACTGGATCAGAAACCTTCCGTAGAAGAAGGACACCTTCCATACATGTGAGGCAACTTCTGTATTCAAGCCAGTATACACTGGGACCTTCTGATTTAGAAATAGAAATATTACATGTTTTGGGAAGGGAAAAACATAGAAATGTAAATTCATAAAAATTATTGACCCCATTCCAATTTTGAACTTTTTTCTTTAGATGTAATAATATGATAATTTATGTTTTTATATTGCAGGGTTTGAGGAACAAGCCAAAGAAAACTGGTCATGTAAAGCCAGATCTCATAGATGTTGATCTTGTAAGAGGTAGGGATGGATCTCTTAAATATGGAATGTAATATTGATCTCTATTTCAGTTTACAAATTTCATCATTTTAATTCAGGGTAATGTGCGGCTGCTGCTTGTATGGGAGATATTTCCTAGCATAGTGTACCTCCATTAATGCACAGTTTATTGAGGGATGGGGCATAGTTGTAATGAAAGCACTTGGCTGCAATGTTAGCACTTCGTTCTGTGCAACTCATCACTGCAAAAACAGAATACTGATCAAATATATGTGCTTGGATTAATAACAACAGTGGGTGACTTGAACTGATAAATTAATTAGTGATAATAAGTTGCAATTATAATTTCCCCCAGTCTTAAGTGTTTATTAGTATAGCTTGTGCTACCTGGCCAAATAGTATTCCTTCTGAGAACAGGGGAATTCAGTTTGCAGCAAGTAGCTCTAATAAAGAAGCCAAATTACATATACCTATTGGAATAGTTTGTACTGACTAGACATTTGCTTTCAGATATCCTTCAAATGTTTAGAATGCCAGTCCTAAGTCCCTTGTATCTCCTAGAAATGATACCCTAACAAAATCATTTTAATGAAATCAAAGAGGAATATGCACTTAGTTTATTAAGAAATGTTGTCAAAGTGCCTGTTACCCCACCTCTCTAGAGTTGACAATAAAGCAATTTTGACTTACAGTATTCAGTTGTTTAATACCAGATTGGCAAGCACAAGTTTCTAGTTACCTATGGGAAAAAAAAAGTTTATCCCTGCAACTCCTGAAAAAGTACTCACATATGTTCTGATTTTGCAAGAAATAAATACAGGTCTTATGTATATATCTTGTTGTTTTGTTCCTGTGAAATATGGCTAGAGATGTAAGCTGCTTTGGGTTCATTAAAAAAAAGAAAAGAAAGCAGGCAGGGTATAATTCAGAGAGGGAGAGAGATGGAGAGATATTTTAGTCCTTAGGCTGTGTTCTGTCATACAAAACCTTCTGGGGACCTCATGCCATCAGTGGGTATGGCATAGTTAAATAGTGTTCCATTCTTGCATACCCGCTTTTCCAACACTTACCTTCATGCCCCATCCTTACTATCCACCTCCTTCTTCCTGTCCCATCCATACACTGTGCTGCTTGCTGAGAAGGAGGCTTTTTATACAGTAGAAAGCACAAAAATGTTAGCATGCCCATATATTGGTATCTTTCTCAATGTGTAGCTTGGCATGATATCTGTGCATGTGGTTTAGGATTTTATCTTAAACAAATAGTAGCTTGGAATCTTCTTTATTGATAATATGGTGTTGTGATTTTTTCTCTGTTTAGGCTCTGCCTTTGCTAAAGCTAAACCAGAAAGCCCCTGGACCTCCTTGACTCGAAAGGGTATTGTTAGAGTTGTTTTCTTCCCATTTTTCTTCAGGTGGTGGCTGCAAGTGACGTCAAAGGTTATTTTCTTCTGGCTCCTTGTCCTTTATCTTCTTCAAGGTATAACTAGATAGTTATATATATCAAATACCTTAATTAGAAAATGAACATCCAACAAAAACTTATTTTCCAGAGTCCCAGTGAGGCATTTCTATTAATATTTTTTAAATGTCCATTTCCCAAAAAGCTGAATCTGCAAAGTAGCTAAATGTTTTTGATTCCAAGAGTAGTAAATAATTTGACAGTGTTATAATAGCAAAAAGGGTGTTGAGAGAAGGCTATGATTTTGGCATGCTTCAGAAACATTAGGAGATTAAACACAGGAAACATAAAAGAGCTGTTCAGATCAAGGAACATACTGAGTGTACAGATGTCATTACAGTATTTAAGTTTGAGCCTAGATGGTGAGCCTCATATTTGAAAAACTAGTTCAAAATTTATTTTGCAGGGACGACAGCCTCCTTGCTACTCACTTATTTGAAGAATGTTGATACATAATTCTGCCCACGGCTATCTAATATTTCTTCTTAGAGTATGATAATATGTACACAGCTATGTTTCCATTAGAACAGCCAACTATATGCCACAGTGCAGTAAATCACTTGGTAGTAACTTCAGTGGTGGTGACTTGCCTAGAGATACTCATGTACAAATGCATATTTATAGATGCCATTGGGTACTTTGCTGTCCTATTTTGTTGTAACATCTATAGCATATTATCAATTCCCACTGTCTTCAACATGTTTGAAAGTTGCTGAGGAAAACATTTATATTTATATGCATTATAATATGTAGTCTTATAATATTGTCACTTTCCTTTTTATAAGCTAAGTTACTTATAACTATACCAGAAATATTTTAATTCTGTTAACAGAGCACTATCCAACCAAAATTAAGAATTTACAGAGTCACTGATATGAGTGAGAGATTTAAGCACAATGCTTAAAGACTCAATTCTATGCCTGTGCAAAAAAGCCTGTGCTGTCTAAAAATGCATAGGATTGTTCCCTAAATCTTGTGCACTGAAAGAATAAATTAATTTTGGGTTTTGTTCATTTCTTACCTAAAAATTCCTTCTAAGCATCTTCATCAACTTCCAATGGATAATACCTCTGCCATACATTTTGAATTATTGATGCTTTGTTTTCTGCTTTTTTGTTTCTTTCAAAAGTTGCTGCAGTAGTATTGTTCTATACAATAGAAGGCCCACATAATATACCTCTGACTGAAGTAATAGGGCCAGTATGGCTCATGTTGCTCCTTGGAACTGTGCATTGCCAGATTGTTTCAACAAGAACACCTAAACCATCTCCAAGTACGGGAGGGAGAAGGCGAAGGTACAGCTTGTGCTTCCTTTGTGGGTCCTTTATACATAAATGTGCATGAATGTATTTCAGAATAAAACTTGATTCTTTTATTCCTTTAAAATCTGATAAAATCTGATATTCTTTTTCAAATTGGTTGGTATTGATATTTTTACTAATATTTGAAGTTCCTTTTATTTGTAATTATCTTTATTAAATTTTATTGCAGTCATTAAACACTGAAGTGGTCACATGGTCAGTTCTGTTGTGAAACTTGTTTGTTGTATCTTGCACAGAGCAGACATTTTTACTGGAGAAAAACATGTAAAAGTAAATAAAAGGACTTCAAGGAGGCAACAAAGACAGGATTGAATCCTCCCAGACAGAATTGAAGTGATTACTCAAAAGCTTAAAATGAGAATTGAGGAATTAATGTATATTGTTCTCATACTTTTACTCTTCTGGAATGAGTTAATGAAGATATAAATGTATCTTGTGTAGAATCATAAAATATTTGTTTACTTAAGAGAATGGCTAGATTTAAAGCTTTTGTATGCATGCCTACAATTACGCTGACCCTGCTGTAGTGCTAGTGAATGATACTTACAAGATGCCTTCCACTTTTCATCTCTTCTGATGAAGGAAATTGAGGAAAGCAGCACATTTGGAAGTTCATAGGGAAGGAGATGGCTCTAGTACTACAGATAACACACAGGAAGGAACAGTGCAGAGCTACGGTACAAGCACCTCTTACAGTGTTGGCGCTGTCTTCAGAGATATCTGGCATGCTGCTTTCTTTTTATCAGGGTTTGTATTTTATTCAAGGCTGTGTTTGTCTTAAATATGCACTATCCCTTTCTAACAAAGTAAGCATTTATCTTTGTTTTCAGCATTCTTCTGTACATCCAGCTAAGCATTCTGGATTTATTTATAGCTCTTCCATGTAACCTTATAAAGTATTCTAGCACCTGTGGCTATGTTCTCATGCATTGGCAACTAACTCTTAGAAATGCCAAGTAATATATAGAAATGAATGATTTAGAAGGACAACACTGGAATATAATGGAGTTGTTTTTGAACTATAATTCTAATCAAACATTGATAATGTATTTCCTTTAAAAAATCAGTCTAGCTGTTTCCAAATATATTGAATGCACTGGCACACTATAATGTATATGTATTTTTAACAAAACAAGAAAAGAAACAGTGTAGTTACTTATATGTATTATTACACTAACACATCATATCTGTCCTCTTAGATTTTATTTTTATTCATGTTCTTTCTAAATTTATATCCCATCCATCGGCCATAGATGACTATGCTTTTTCTTAAAAATAAAATTATGGCATAAAATACCATAATGGCAAATGTTGCTTGTGACAGGTGTTTTATGTAATTCAAGCAATAATAGTTCCATCTCTCTTGCTGCACAAAATAGCTTAACTTTCACTACATAAGGAGCTTGAAAGCTACAGGAAGAGTCTCATATTTAAATAGTATCTTCAAAGCAATGGTAATCTCTCAGTGGAACTCTGAGCGTTCATGACTTCCATAGCAATTACTAGGAGCACCTACTATTTAAAACTAGGCTTTTGAAAATTCAGTGTTTTTTCTTTATTTAGGAAGGTCAAAGTCAACGTTAAAAAAAAATTGTAGGTAAACTGTTGAAACCTAATTAAGTGTTGACTTTTATGTTTGTCATAGAGGTGTGGTAGAACTTTAATACCCTAATGGAGGAAATTCAAAGCTAGAATTTAACCTTTGTTTTGAGAGGTTAGTCACAAAATACTGAGGTTTGAAGGCTTTTTTTAAAAAAGCCAGATGGCTTGTATTTACAGACTCTTCTGTATTTGATGTAATAAGCTTGGGTCAGCCATGTGAAATCCCTGAGGGATTTACTTTAGCATAAGTAATTTTATATGGAGCTTGGAATATGGCCTGTTTTCTCCTTTGAAAATGTCCTGAAAAGGGCACTAGAATATAACAACAGAGACAAATAATGTTTCTTTGCAAAGTGAAAGATAATTCAGTAATCTGAGTCCTGACTTAACCTGTCATAAGGTTGTTACAAATTGACTGATTGCAGCTTAAAGTTATTCTTTTCAAGTCAGAAAGCTTTAGCTGAAGGCTCTGTTTAATGTTAAACATGTCAGTGCATTGATTTTTTTCCTTCATCAGAAGGGTCTACTTGTAGCTGTAGACCACAGTAGAACTTGTCTGTTGTGAAGCTTTTTGCTATGCCTCTACTGCTCTTCTAACATAACTGCTAATGCAGAAAGTACTGTATTTGCTATACACATGGAACAAATTAGATTAGATTTGATTTTTTCTTTGCACTGGTGGAAGTTTTATTCTCCAGATATTGGTATTAGTGATTCAGGACACGGAAAATATTCTCAGTCTGTCCTTACTTACCTTTTAGTCTGTAGAGGATAAAACTCAATTTTCATACGCATATCATAAACCATAAAAAACTTGATGTTATCATACTTAACTTGCTTTTGACTACCAGTTGAAGTTCAACACCTAGTTATGTTTTTCAAGAAATGAGGGGTATAAGATTGCCTAAATACTAAAGATAATACTACGTCTATATTTCATGTTTTGACTGTTAAAATTGTACTAGTACTTCAGTCTTACATTTATCCATGCACTTGAAAGGTGTTGGCCCAGGGAGAGAGATGAATGTGACTGGGTTTGCATGTCAGGACAACCTAGCATGTGCAGCCAGCCATTGTGTGTTCTCATGTCATCAGAACCTGATGTATTTTTCACAGGGTGGCTTTATTTTTGGACAAGCCATCCTGAATAAACCACAGTTTCTTGCATAGTTGTTGAAAAGTGCAACCATCTCTTAGGGTAAAAGCAAGCAACAATGGTGCTGCTCCTTTCCTCATGAACAGCCTCAGTTGCCAAACTCTGCCTTGCAAAATAGTGTAGTACAGCTGTCTGTGTCCTCCTTGCTTCTTTCAAACTCTCCTTCCCCACTCCCAATGGTTCTTAATGTTTTCCAGGTAGATGCTCCTATGAGGGTACACTCACATCCATACATGGTGCAAGGAGATGCTTCATTGGCTGATGAAAATATTGAAATCACAAGTCAACAAGCACTCTTATGAAAAACTTGCAATTATTTTGCTTGGTAGGGGGAACATGATGGCCATATATACCACAGGCATCAGGATTTGTTTGATTTATCCTCAGAGAGTCAGGTACCAGCTCATGAAGAGCTGCCAGTCTCCAGCACATAATGCTAACTCCCTGACCCCAGGCACACATGCTGAGCCCTATACCACATGAGCAGTCATGTCCATTATGCCCATATAGGTTTTCATCCGTAGCAATTCCAAGATCTCCAAACCCTGACACACCACCAAAAATATTCCAGTGCGAGTCCATGTTTTACCATACTCATCTGTCCCTACCATTCCAACAAATTGCCAATTCCCTTCTGGGGCAAGTTCAGCAGTAGCATACTGCTCCAGTACAAGCCATCCAACGTATTTTCCTTCTATTGTGAGCTGTTCTCAAGACAGTAGTTTTCTCCTACCTATAGTGCTCAGGTATCTTTCTCTAGAGGAAGAGTAGTGGCAGCAAGCTCATCATTATCTGTTAACTATATCACTACTGAAGAACCACTGAAAGATGTAGCAAGCAAACTGGAGATACTTTCCCCCAAATTCTTAACTAAGGGAGTGGAACAGTTACTGTTCCTGCCTGTGGACTTCACAAAACCAAGTGGCCACTCCTTCCCTGGCTTTGCCCAAAAGAAGGCTGAGAGGGGAGTGAGGCTGAAGGCCCTGACTCACATCCAGCAAGATAATCTGAGCACCAGCAGAACAACTTAGATGGGCAGCTGCAGAGCTCACCAGAGCAAGGAAAGACACTCTGTGGAGGAGGATTTACTGCTAACCAGTCCTCAGCTAATGACTTGCTTTTGTAACAATAGTAAATCAGCATAGTTGCTATTTGCAAGGAATTTTGAAATTTACAGTTTTAATTAGAAAAACAAGTATAAGTACAGAGTGAGGGAGGGACTTTCTGATGGGCACCATCAAAGAGAAACCACCCCAAACACATAGCAGACCAATAAAAAAGAGTCTGTTGACATAGTGAGGGAGCAAGGGATCATGGGATGAGACTTTGTTCCACGGGTGCCTAGGATACATGTTGGAGCCAACTGGAGGACTGAGTTAATATGAGGCAAAGAACAAGTTAAGGGAAGCCCAATCATATGTCAGGCATAATGTGGGTTCTATTAAAAAACCAACTCACGGAGGCTCAGTCACACTACTGCCTACAGTGTGTGCGCGCACGTGTGTGTGCGTGATGAGAGAGAGAGAGAGAGAGAGAGAGAGAGAGAGAGAGAGAGAGAGAGATGCTTCACTATGTAAATGGTCAAGATAACATTACTGATATATAGAAAAAAGTGGAACAGTATGCATTTAAGTTCTAGTGTCCACATGGGGATCTCTGGGGTGTATGCATTACCAGCAATTGCACTCACAAATAGTATGTGAGTTCTAGATGTAGCATTCTCTGTGTCCCATTTTCCCAAGTGGTAAATTCCAGGGCTCACCTGGATTTGGTTTATTTTGAAAGGAGGCATCTGTAGATACTTAAGGTGTTTATGTTATATGGAAATTTATTTACTTGGGAACATAAGTTCAAAGGGAAATACAGCCTAACTCTCACAAGCAGCAAGTTCTTCGCCCTATATTATATCTCCAGGCAACATTGAAAAGGCTCTTTCCAGAATTCCTAGGTGGCCCTTTTCCTGTGTCCTACTCAAAAACTGCTTCCCCCATTCTCCCCCCCCCCCCCCCCATACATCTACCATATCCCTTCCTGTTGGCTGGAGAACAAATAAAAGTGACTCATCTACTCCAACCATCTCCTAGCTTTTTCATAACACAAAAGATGTATGTGGCAAGTTCACCTTCTAATGATGGAGGATTTTTTTTTCAAGAATGTCAGCCCCATACATCCTTTTTGGCCAAAAGTCCTTTGCAGATATCAGGAAGCATTACAATATTTTGCAGTCCAGGTTTTCGTGGAGGTGGAATTTATGTTGGGCTTTCATAAGGTATATAGCAATATGCAGTGATCTGAAACATTAACTCAGACAGATATACTAGGGTTTTCCCCTTTGCTTGCAGTCTTACTTCCCCCTTTCTTTTATGTATACAATCCAAACTAGTTGGATTTCTGTCCTGTTCCTAAAAAGTAGGAGCTGAAATTTAATTGAGAGGCATCTTGAACTTGGGCAGGAATCTCAGTGCTCATCATCCCAGTTTGTCTTTGGTATGCAGAAGATGGGCTGCAATCGAAGTTCTCCTTGATCCATGAGGTATAGGGCCTGAAAGTACCTAGAGTATTGCTTCCTGTTTACTTTCCTTTGTATTTTATATATTGAGGGAAATTGAGAGAAATGATTTCCACACCTTCTGCTGTTTCTAGGAAAAGGGCAGAATATAAAAAGAGGTACTAGAGACACCTACACAATAAAGAGCTTGTACAAACAAAAAAGTCTACTTCTCATTTAGTCAATAAATGAGGGTCCCTTGTGGCAGTTTAATGATAATTAAATCTACAGACTAATATACAATAAAATGGAGATTTATAACACAAACACAGAATATACAACTTAACTTTGCTAGTATTATATAGATAGTATACTTAGTTTCATGTACTGGTTTCTTCGGCAAGGGGCGGCATAGAAATGTTCTAATAATAATAATAAAATAATAATAATAAATTTGGAAAAAATGTATGACCTATGTGTATAAGACAAAAACCTATGTGTGTAAGACAGCAGCTAATCCTGAATTGTTTAATCCAAAGATAAAAACAAGTAGAGCATGTGAGCCACACATTCATTATTTTTGCTTTTGATCAACTGTCCATGAATCTGTTCCTGGATTATTTCATGACATCTGAACCTGAAAATTCTTAAGTTGTTTATGGGTTAAATAACCCAGAATTAACTCAGTAACCAACTATTGTTCACACATTAGAAAATGGTTAATTAAAAAGTGGAATTGATAAGCAAAATGTGCAAGCTGCACAATCCTCAACACAATTCAATGGTTAGATAAACAGGAATTGCTGCTGTGATCTGCACACTATGTCATTAAAAAGTTGTGTGTGGATGTGTCCCAGTCACCTGTAGAACAGCATGTATGAACCATGAATAAACATGAATGAGAAAAGTGCTATTGTGAGCATCCATGAGTAGTTTTGCCTTATTCAGAACTTTCTCCACTGTAATCATCCACATTCTTCCCTCCCTCTATTTCGCATTCATATTTTGAAAAAATCCCCAGATTCCTTCTCTACATCTGTTCACTTTCTTTGAATTTACATTTATACAGAATCTTCACCTGTCCTGTTGAGCTTCTGATGCTTAGGGCCTTTATTATTCTGCATAACAAAAGAAATGCATTTAAAGATAAATAAGGTACAGAAAAATGCTAATGTTCTTGTTTTCAAGGGGAGCCATGGCAAAGTGCTTTGTGGCTCTGAAGAAACAGGCTTAAAGACTTTATATGGCCATGGCCAAACCTATGTTTAAACAAATAATGTTGTGAAGAGAAGTAGTTGATTTTTTCAAATAGCATTATAAATCCTGTATCAGTTTGTATTCCAAATGAATATAATTTAATGCCAGACATTAAATTTATAATGCACATTCCTATGTTTCTTTTTTAACAGTTTCTGAAGAAGGTAGAAATCTGTAATGAATGACACTATTAATTTCATGTGTCTGTTTAATTATAGAGCAAAGAAAGCAAAGAATTCAATAGATAAATCAACAGAAACTGATAATGGGTATGTCTCCCTTGATGGAAAAAAGACAGGTAAAAGCAATGAAGATGTTTTACAGTCTCATGAACAGCACTGTGAAGTTATTAGATCAGAAGAGACATGCTGGAACACAGGAACAGTAAGAAATACCTTCAGTAATCCTAATAATCACAAAGTGAGTATCTCATTTGTTCTTCTGGAATGTGTTTGACAGCTCAGTATTAATATCTTTATATTTTGAGAATATAAATATTATCATGCTGGGTCATTCACAAAGTCAGTCTCATTCAACATACTGTCTTGTATAATGGCACTTAACAATCTAGTTAACAGCTTTGAATGTCCAAGCTCCAGATAAAAGTATCTTTCCAGCATCATTTCTTTCTTTAAAGCTGTTTATCACTGACTATACAGTTTGTCCCTTCAATCTCATTTTTGCCACTATGGTGTAGTGCTTAGAATGTTGGACTAGTACCTGGGAGATCCAGATTCTAGTGGCTACTTGGTGAACTTGGGTTAATCATGGAGTCTCAGACTACCCTACCTCACAGTGTTGTTGTGAGCCTATAAGGAGGAGAACCTTATAAGCTGTATTGGGTTCCTTGCAAAATGAAGAAAGGCTGGGTATAAATGTAATGCAATACTACTACCTCTGCTACTCCTACTATTGCTACTAATAACAATAATAATGCAAGCATTACAGAAATCTTTAGCCTATCATATATATAGTTAAATACAGATGAAAAGCTCCAAGTTTTCAAATCGCCATAATCCTATCAAGGAAATTGAGAAAAATGTTTTGGTTGTACTGGTCTTAAGTGCTCTTCTAATGGGAATTCCAGCTATATTAACCAATTACTATTAGTACACTCAATTGGTAAGATTGCATGGCATGCTAAACTACTCAAAGAACAAGGCACGGTGCATGCAAGGGCTTGTCTCTTACTCCTGGAAGATGATCACCAACCTGGTGGCTTATTATGGCATTTTTTCTTCCTCTCAGTCTTCCCGGACACTGCTGGAACATTTGCCAGGGGTTCTTGCAGCAGAAATTATCATTTTCTTGTTTCCTACATCAGCACCTTATCTGTAATTGGTCTGCTGGGGTTGCTGGCTCATGAGGTAATCCCTGCATGAGCTCACCAAAAGTATTTAAGTTTCTGAGCCCTTAGGACCATAGGAACTTATTTGCAATATGTTTAAAAATTTTATTTGAGGCTCTTGTGCAAAACCACATGTCTGCTAATGAGTCCAGGATAACAGTTTCTTCTTCTTATGAATGTCCTTGGAAATTTCATCCTCCACATGAGTACTTCCTGACTGAAACACCACCACTTCCCCACATCATATTGAAAAAAAGAAATAGCTGTTAATTAACATAGGAATGTATTAGCAAATTTTTAAAAAATCAGGGTCTTGCACATGTTTGCAGTATTACCTACCAACTATTTACACAAATGTACCAAATTACTTCCTCTTGTCTTTGTCAATTACATTTTCCCATATTGGACCTTCATTTCCTACCAAACATGTTTTTTTTTTAAAGATTACTTTACATCCTACTGAAATAATATTTGCTCCTAAAGCTCCTTTTCTCCTATAGTTTCCAGCTGCTTTCAGCTCTATTCCTTGCCCCTTTGTACTTGTCATTTCCCTGCTCTGGTCTCCATTGCTAGCTGTCCAAGGTACATTAAAGGTTCCAGAGCAAAGGGAGGGATTGTTCAGTCTATACATATTTCAGAACTGCGCAGAGACTGAATGAATGACCATGCACAAATTTCAAGACAAATCCCTTAAAAGCAAAATCACTACTCTGCTTTAGCATTGTTGTTAGGGCACTTTAGCAGATTTGCACAATTATCCCTGAAAGGTAAAATAATAAATAGAAGATAAATTTGTGCAAACTTCCCCACAAATGGGAAAGTTACATCTGTGCAACATCTCTGCAAAGGTGAAAAAAATTCTGATTTTCCAGACAGAGGTGGTGACAAAGTTGAGTAGTAAACTGACTGGTGGCTTTTCATGATATAATAGAAAGGGGATAGTATTAATGAGTTTGCAAGGAGTGGCTGACAGAGTTTTTCACAGCTTTTAGCAGGCAGCTCTTTTATCATTTTAAGCAACCTATGCTGGAGCAACTCTGCCGGTTCGGATGGCATGAGAAACCACTGTGAGAACAGGCCACCCAAACAACTCGTGTACCTTCCATGGGTTTTCAGGATGGCTTCTTTGTAAGAAACAACCTACAATGGAAAAGTTGCACTATTTTCTAACATCATGCTAAGCTACCCTGCAGCCACCCATGGTGGCAACCCACTATGGCTTAGGGTGATGCAAGAATCAAACCAGTTTGTTTGATCTTTGACTTGGCCAAGCTTAGGTACAGGTGGGTTAAGAACAAGTTCCATTTCTTAGAGCATACTTAAATCAAACCTGTATGCAAGTTGGATCACATGAGTAAGCCATATATCTTAGTGTATGCATATATTTTACCTGACTATGCATATAAACACTTAGGAAATACTTCCATATTTACTAAAACATCTTAAACACAATGCACTGTTGTAATAGTAATAACGGAGTAGTAATAAAGTAACTACAGGTAATAAGAGACAGAGAGAATCTGTATATATCTGTGTAGGTATACAGTACTTAAAAAAAATGTCATAACTTGCCTCTTATCTGGCTTAATGTAAGTTTGAGCTTCACTGTCCATCTTTAATTTTAATGTAAGCCCAATAGAAAATAACTTGGATCTTTAAAAGTGACTTACCAGTCCCTCATTATCTTCTGAAGCTCTTTGATAATGGGTTGCTAGGGCAATATAGTCCATGTACAGAGTCATCTGGCTGAGCATTTGTTGAGTTTCCATTTCCAGTTTTTGATGGAGCACAAGGCTTATGTGGAAGAGGGGGCAAACATGTTGGCTGAGGTGTTGAAGAGCTTAATGGAGAAGGTGAAAACATTTGGCCTTAGGAAATGGGTTTCTGTGACTAACTCTTGGGAACTACCCCAACCTGTTATTATCTCTGGCGAAAAGACATGAATATCTCTAGTGAAAAGCTGTGAATTTCTCTAGGGAATTATGCTGCTTAGTTCCCTAGAAATATTCATGGCTTTTTGTTTGAGATATTCCTATAAGCTTTATGGTAGTCCAAACATTTCTAAATATGGGATGTTCATAACCCCGGGTCTACCTGTACTGGTAATGCACTTCCAATGTTCAAGTTTATAAGTGAGGCTGACTTCTTTGTTCATCTGAGCATCAGATGAAGTCTGTTTAGAACTTGAGAAAAAAGAGGATAAGAAGCTTTAATTTTGAAGGATGTCACCACATTTCATTCACTGTTCATGGAACAAATGGGAACACAGATATGCAGATAGACATAAACAATACACTCTTGGTTCACTGAACCAAGCAATTAGAGTTGGTCTCTATGGAGCTGTTGTTTCAAGTGGTAGGAGACAATTGAATCAGTTGTTCATGAGTGAGATTTTTAATGGGGCTGTATTTTTTCTCAATTCTAGTCTCTTTTCTGTTGCAAAAAACTGAACATTACAAGCTATTAAAGTAAAAATCAAAATTTTAATTTAGTTCATAAAACTTTCAGGGAGAAATCTGCTTATTAGTTTAACTGTTTGATGTTTACAGAACTATGTTCAGAACATTGCAGTCACAACCTTTCAGCTGCAACTTTTCAGCAGGTTTTTTTTTAATGAATTTTACCTCAAGTTTAAATGTCTGCAAATACTCTTTGGTTTTAAGCATACTCTTTTTAAAGATCTTTCTCAATAACAGTAACTGAATAACATACAACTGACCATGGTAATTTCTTTTACCTGCTCACCATTCTGAGAGCAAGTGTGGCATATTGTGTAAGAGATCAGAAGATCTGGTTTCTACTCCCCACTCAACTGGGTGACCTTGGGTCAGTCACAGCCTCTTGGTCCAACCTACCTCACAGTGTTCTTGTGAGGATAAGATTAAGAGGAGGGGAATAATTATCTAAGTTCCTTGAAAAGAAAAAGGGTGGGATATAAATATAGTAAATACAATGAAAAAACTAAAGGTGAAACCCTCACCTGAAATTTTAAATTGATTACTGAAGGATACATGAAAACTGTGAGGTTATTGTAATAACAGGGTTTGGGTTGCTTGACTGCAATCATATGAATTCATTAATTATGAATACTCAAAGCTGGCTTTTACAGTAGAGTAAACTACGAAAGACTAATAATTTTCCCATTAGATTGCTGTTCCCAGCTATTGTATGAAGAGCACTGGGGTACCCCGATCCCAAATCTGAACTCACTTCTACTTAGATCAGTTTTGACTCCAGTTAAAGACTCTATCCTCTGACTATTGATGTATGCACCCAGTGCTTGCTGTTAGTCTTTATTTATATATTGTTGCCCAAATAATGCCTTGAAGGTCCATTTCTCAAGGTAAGCAGGTGTGTTCTAAGCAAGGAGATAGTTTGTGAATACTGCTGATATGGCTTCCTTTGAGAAGTTGCTATGGATATGCAGCATTTTTAAAAAACCCTATTATATATCCAGTTATGTCTTCTATAGTTTTATAAAAGTATGGGGAATAATTGCAGTACTCGCAAAATTGAATACGTTGTATTTGAGGTAAAGCCAATATATGTTTTAATAACAGCCAATTTTTATTTGCCTAGGATAGTCACAGAACAGTGGCAAATGTGTCTGATGAAGTTTCAAGTGAGGAGGGGCCAGAAACTGGATATTCCATGCGGCGTAATGTAGAACGTGTTTCTAGTGATTGTGCATTTCGAAATAGGAAATCCCATCATTATAAGAAGCATTACCCTGTGGAGGTATGCATTTGCAATACTTTCAAACTTTTATGCAAGCTCTTATGGATAAAAAAATCTGAAACTCTTTTTCACTTACTAGCCTGCAGTAGCTGTCAGGGACAAGTCCTTCCTAACAGTTGCATCTCTGCTCTGGTGCCACTAGGTTTGTTTGTTTGTTTGTTTGTTTCATCTCAGTACCAGACTAACAGTTTTATTGAAAAGAGAATTTACTGCTGTGTTGCATGATGGTTGTTCAAATGGTGTTTCACATCAGTTGTTCAGTTCTTCTTTTATGTAATCCTAGAATTCTTAAATTTTTCTACAATTTGTCTTGAATTGTTTGTTAAATATCAGCTGCCTTGTAAGAAGGAAGGAGGAATTCTTCCCTGGAAAAATATTTGCTTTGCTTCCCTTCTTTTGACTATCACTCACATCTTAGCAGATGCTCATTTGAACATGATTGAGGCTTCATAGCAGTGTGGAAGTCATTTTCCCATGATGGTTGCTTCTTTTGTGCACACTCTCCAGCAGCATTAGTTCATATCATGGAAAGTGGGTTGGGTTCAGTCTGCTCATGGTGAGAATGTATGGAGTGGTAATTTAAAGATCATTCTCCAGTATAGGCCAAGTTCTACTTTTGTGGTGTATGAATATTCTCACATTGTACTTGGTATAACTATTTGTGAAGTGGTTGAGTAAGTAGCAATAATAATCTTCTGATTTAATTGTGACCTTCCAATTTATGAGAAAAAAAATCAGATTTGTGTCAGATAATAGTTAGATGGATCTTTGGAAAAAATGCAAAGTAAATTAGTTTAAATTTGGGCAATTTACATGGTGAATGTTCTGTTTGCATCAAAAAATGTTCTGATGCTCTAGACCAGACATGGGAAATGTATGGCCATCCAGATGTTTTGGTTTACATTTCCCATCACCCTTTGTCATTGACTCTCCTGACTGTGCCAATGGGAACTCTCATTCCTTGCTTATAGAGAAACCTAATTTAGCATGTTTATTTTATTTCTGTGTTGTACATAACAAAGCTATTTGTGTCTCTTTAGATCACATATATTTGATCTAAAATATTTGAAGAAAAAATAAATATACTTTACTGTGTATAAAATTTTATATTACATAGACATTTTAATTGGACTATCTATAAAATGTAAAGACAATATAATGTTTCCCTTACATTGGTTAAGCTTTAAAAAACATAAAAACAAAGGTACTGAAAACTATTGAAATGTTAATTACTTTTAGTACCCAAAGAACTATATATGATATGCTGGCAACCATGTATCACTGGTAGCAGTACTTGCTAGGTTCATTTCACCCTGAGATATATACTCCATTGATCCATTGATGTAGTAGTTATTAATTTTTTTTTAACATAAGTGCCTCTTTTTATTCAAACGTTATTTTAATTGTTAATATTATTTATTTATTTTATTCTTTGGCCAGGGCAACTTAATTTATACTGTTAAATTATATTGTTTTATATTATGTTATTTATTTATGATTGTCAGTCGCCCCGAGGCTTTGGCGAATGGGGCGGCATAGAAGTTCCCTAAATAAAAATAAAATTAAATAATATATTCTTGATTGCAACTTAGGTTGGATTATGATTTCATTTTTAAAGCAGGTTGGAATTTGGCAGTAAATACGTATCTAATGTGTATCTTCAGGATATCCCTAAATCAGGCACTAGTTGCAGTTCACGATGTTCAAGTTCCAGACAAGATTCTGAGAGCACAAGGCCAGAGTCCGAGACAGAAGATATTCTCTGGGAGGATCTTTTACATTGTGCAGAGTGCCACTCATCCTGCACCAGCGAGACAGATGTTGAGAACTCTCAGGTTAATTCATGTATGAAGAAAGAGTATAGAGATGACCCATTTCATCAGGTTAGTGCAAAAAACACACATATCTTGCCAAATCTGTCATGGGGTAGAATTGTGGCACGGAAAAGGATAAATGGAATGAATTAAAATTATTTGAAAATACATACTTTTGATAGTGGTAAATTAGTGCTTGGCATACAAAATTCTTCGGTTCCAAAATACAATTATTATCACTATTTTTTGCAGAGTCATTTGCCCTGGTTCCATAGTTCTCATCCTGGGCTAGAAAAAGTAAGTGCAATCGTTTGGGAAGGTAATGACTGCAAAAAGGCTGACATGTCAGTGCTTGAAATCAGTGGCATGATAATGAACAGAGTAAGTATTTTAAAAATTTGGATTTATTACATCACTTTCCCCAAGTTAAAGATACTTGTGTTCCTCAAACACCTTACAATCCATGAATTTGTCTGCATCTTATTCCTGGTTTTAGATTGATTTGTTGTTCAGTCTAGACGTCCTGTATAGTGCTGCTCTTGCTTGTTTTGAACAGGGTTGCTAATTTCTACTAGTTCCTTCTTATGCTACAAATTACAGACCTGATTAGTAGTCACCCTATAAAATGTCCACAAGGAATTGTTTGAATCAATAAGAATAACATTTGAGTAAGCCCTTTCTGTGAAAGTGTATACTACCATATATGAGTATGAAAGCCTGGCAACATTACGTTTCTAGTCTGAGCTATATTTAGTAACTCAGAGAAGTTTAGTCTCAAAAACACTGGGTTGTATTCAAAGTGCAACTTTTCAAAACAGAAAGAGGGCCTATTTTTGGCTGGTTACCCTCTCTACTGCAGCCTCCTTTCCCAGTGCCACATCCCATAGGATTTCTAAGAATTTATCAGGATTGCCCTATGAGGAAGAGCAGGGGCCACAGGATGTACACTGTGGAGTGTAGGTGTTAAAGTCAAAATAATTGTTTCTCTTCTAAAAATTTGATCTTTGTGCTAATAAATGTCAAAATTGTTTTGCTGTATTAAACATCTTTGGGTATTTTGAAAACAACTACCTGTATGGAACTATACCAAATAGGATTTATCAGCACATATTATATTATAGGGTTCTTGGTTTTTTGTGTTTTTCATCTATAGGTGAACAACTATGTACCTGGAATAGGATATCAGATTTTTGGAAATGTTATCTCTTTAATCCTGGGTTTAACACCATTTGTATTTCGACTTTCCCAAGCGAAGGATCTGGAGCACTTAGCTGCACATTCTGCCACTGAACTTTATACTATTGCATTTGGATCAAATGGAGACATGATGGTTCTTTCTATGGTTATAGTATGCTTCATAGTTCGTGTTTCTCTTGTATGGATTTTCTTCTTCCTGTTATGTGTGGCGGAAAGAACCTACAAGCAGGTAGGCAATAGCACCAAACCCCTTAAATTCTTTCTCAAAGGGAAAGAATCCACAGTCTTTGGAATATACATATTTGTAATAGTATAGCTGTCCTGAGGTGCCAGTTAGCTGTCCCGAGATGCCAAGGCATAAGGGACGGCATACAAAAGTGTTAACTAACTAACTAACTAACAGCTAGTGTACTCTGTTTTGTGTATTTATAATTTATTATTATTTGCCATAATATTTTAAATCTTGCACTTGAAAACTATGCCTTTCCAAAGCAGTTTTTGACATAGCACAACACAGTTCATTAAAAACACAGCACCATTAAATTGGTGTCCTTTATAAAGAAGACAGTCTATTCTGCCTACCTTCAAAGGAGATCAGAGAACTGATTCTCTCCACCCTATAAAGTAATACAGAGTGATGATATCTGAAAAAAGCTATACATTTGTATTTTTAATTATTTTAAAATTGCTTATTTTTTATAGAGATTGCTTTTTGCCAAACTCTTTGGCCATTTAACATCTGCAAGAAGAGCACGGAAGTCAGAGGTTCCTCACTTCCGGCTAAAGAAGGTGCAGAATATAAAAATGTGGCTCTCCCTGCGTTCCTATCTGAAGGTTTGATATCCTTTTTTTTCTTTTTGATATTGCAAACTACCTCAATTCATTCTATATAATATTCTTATACTGAATTTTCCTACTTGCTTTTGTTCCCTGGTTTTGTCAGTGCAGAATAGTAGGTATTATATTTCTCACCAAGAATAAGAGAATCAAGAAGTCAGCAGCTTAGACGTCCTGCTGGCCTTGGTTCTGGAAATACTGTGTCCAGTTGTACTGAATTGATTCAGTAGTATTCACTATGTCATTAAGCTTTACCATACTAGATTTTTAATTTTTTGTGGGCTAATGCCTTAGAGAAAGAAGGCTATGCCTATTAGTCAGCTTCTTGTTTAGGCAAAGACTGACCTCAGTTTTGAGAGAACCGAAACTTGCCATCCTGATGGGCTTAAATGCAGGACTGAAAGTTTTGTGACAGAATATGTGTTCTCCAAAGAGTTTACTGGCACCAAGTGCATTTGCAAAGTTTCAGAAACTAATCCAGTAACCAGAAGTTGAAGTCTTGCCAAGTTTTGGGTAGTTTGTGTCTGAAACTGCCAGTAACATTGCTGCAGCAGAGGAATAACCGTTAACTATTAATAACTGCTTTGACAGAACTTGCTGTGAAACTGTGGTTTCTATAATCCCCAAGATGTACGCATTGCACTTTCAGTAGTATAAGGAAGGCATTTGCATTGGCTTCACAGGCCTCTGTTGAATGGCTGTGTTCTGTGATGCTAGATGTTACGAGTCCCTTCCTCACATTATATTAAATTTCCTGAATAATTCTCTGTCCTTCATCCCTCCCCACCTGGTTTGGTTTGGTTTTCTCTTCTGTATGCTCGCCCCCTGTGATATTGGTGTACCTATTCTTACAGTATTTCTTAAATGGGTTTACCACGCATCGCTGTCCTTGTGCTTCACAAGAAGTGCCTCCACTGTTTCTGGTGGGGAAATATTTTTTCAGATACTTAGTATGATGCCAGCTCTCTGCAAAGGAGCCACTGAGGGCGGAGACCTTTCACCTGAGAGAACAATTTTTACTTGATCAGCATCTCCTGCCTTTTCCTACAAAGGGCTCAAGGCAGCTTACATCATTCTCTTCTCCATTTTATCCCCACAACAACAACCCTGTGAGGTAGGTTGGGCTGAAAGTCTGTGACTGGCCCAAAGTCATCCAGTTGGCTCCATGGCCGAGTGGGGACTAGAACCCAGATCGTAACATTGCCATATGTCCTCCCCTTTATCTTTCCATAAATAGTGCTTTATTTTTTTTTGTTTGAATTTACTTGTATACCCTGACTTTTTCCAAGGGTTCCTTGTAGTTTGCTGCACAGAATGTGTGTTAATCCCTATGGGAGTTAGTCTTAAAGAGCTATTTTCTCATCTTATATCAAAGCAGTGTTAGTATTCTATGTTAATTCATAATGGCAAGATGTTTGGATGTTGTTCAACTGCACATTGCCTAATGTAATGGCCAGTCACAGGAAATTTTAGGACACTCTGTAAGTAAAAGTTCAGACACAAATTCAATTTGGTTAAAGGTATCTGGGTGGTAGCCAATTCTGCACAGCACTAAGGCTGTCGTATTAGTATAAATAAACATGTGCAGCATAACTGGTGCTCATTAGAGCAATGGGTATAATGCCACTTTTTCCCATTGCCCCCAAACCCCTAATTATCATGCAGAAATGTTGATTTATATTAGCACAGTATTGTTGGTACTAGTGTAGGAATACTATCTTTTCATCAAATTCTATGTGTATCAATAACAAAAAATAGCTAATTGAATAGTCACATTCTTTCATCATGCTGCCTTTTTTGTGCTTGTGGAAAATCTAAGTACTATGTCAAGGGGATTTTTAAAAAAATTGGCTTCTTTGCAATCCACCAGAGGGAGCTAAAATCTCAAAGGATAACTGGTCTAAAAATAGTGAGCTGTTCTGTGTGGACCTAGCAGGGAAACTTAAAATTGATGAATCTGATCATTTCAAGCTAGCATTGTAGTTTGTTCTACAATAGAAGCTGTGGAATTCGGACTGATCTATGATTCAGTTTCTTCATAATCTGACTAGCATTACACTCTCATCCTCTAATTTAAAAGGTGTTGTTTTGGTTTCTCAGATCTTGGTCATGATATCCTCTTAAGCAGCCACAGCCATCACACACACAGCAAGAACTCCTAACATCAGCTATTTCTTCTCTAGTCCAGTTGCCCTCAGTCTTAGAAGTAGTATTTTTTGTGCTTCGCTGTATTCCCTCTTAACTTTCATAGAGACATAATTATATACACTGTGTGAAGTACAGTAGCTTCTTCATGTTTTTTTCCCCCAGAGGGTTCTTTCCTGTTTATCTGTGCAGCTCCCTTTCTCATAGGAACTCTATTGTACCTTATTTGCAGAGTATATTGAAATGGCTTTTTAGGAATGGAATTGTTGAAATGCAGGACTTTGTAATCAAGAAAGCTCTATACAATGAGAGACTCTTGCTTCAGCCAACTTATCCCAATTTTCATCATTAACAAGCATTTTAAAAATAAACACTCCTCTAAACGGAACAAGCAAGAACTTTATTGCCCCCTAAGGCACAGTCAGATGATGAGCATGTAACCACACATAGCAGGTTCTGTGGTTGAGAATCACTTAATGCATGTTTCTTTTTATTTTCAGAGGCGAGGTCCTCAGCGGTCAGTTGATGTAATAGTCTCATCTGCCTTTTTGTTGACTATTTCAGTTGTATTTATCTGCTGTGCACAGGTAAGGAAAATGTAACAGGAACTAATTTACTTCATTTTTAATCTTGCAGCAAAACTGTGTAGGTAGCTTTCTTCATGGAGAGCACAAATCTAAGTCCTCTGTCAAAACCAGAACAAGAACAGGTACAGAACAGAAGCAAGTGCAGGAAGTTCTTCATGTGCCCAACTTGCCTCTTCTGCTTTGTGTAGTCACAGTACATAGGAAAGCAGGTGCTTTAAAGGAGCCATACTGACTCAAACAAGGCAGGTGGGATATCTATGTGCCATTGTCACTCTGCCACTTACAACCAAATGACTCTGTTGCTTACATCTCTGTGGCTATGCAGCATTTGCTTAGTTTGAGCACCATCACCAAGAGTCCAAGATTCAGAATGAAATCAGGTTGGACAGATTTCTAGGCACTTTTGTCTGTTACAGCCTTAGAAAAAAGAGCAAGTTCTTCTGCACAAAGAAGTTGAAACAAATGAAAGCTTTCTGAGAACATGGCTATAGTATTGCACAGCTCCATCCATTTCAGTGAGCACAGGATAAATTCTCTGGATTGCACCACAGAATGCAATCCAATGCATGCCTACTCAGAAGTAAGTCCCAGTGAGTTCAGGTAATTTAATGGTAAATTTATGGTAAATTAAGCTTCTTTGAAGTTTAGGTAATTGAATGCTTCCTACTTTATGGTACATTCACTTTTCTGTTTTGTTGTTCCCTTTTAGCTACTTCATGTACATGAGATCTTCCTTGACTGCCATTATAACTGGGAACTAGTGATATGGTGCATTTCATTAACTCTGTTTCTTTTAAGATTTGTTACACTTGGATCTGAAACTAGTAAAAAATACAGCAATACCTCAATATTATTAACTGAACAGGTGAGAATTTTGCTGGTTGGAGTGATGGCTACATCTTAACATGCAGTGATGCCTGGCATTTTGTTTTGTTCATGTTCAAGAAGAGTAAAAGAAAATATACTTTCCTATCTTAGAGAGTATGCACCAGGACCATTTGATTCTGTACAGACCTCAATGAACATTTGGTAATTTTTTTGGAGGGGGAGGGGTTGGCCCAGCTTACGCCTTTCATCTATACATTTCTGTGGATAGTTATTTTTAATTAATATTTTAATGTTTTTTTTTTTTTGCTTTTGCTGATTCTGACTGCTGTTTACTCATGCTTTTATTTTTTAATTTTTAGACCATGAAGCCTTATGCTGAAGGGTGTTCTATGCACTTTCTTTTCTTCTTCCTTTAAAATTACATAATAGTGAGCATGTAGCCCTTTTCATATATGCAGAATTTGAGAATCCAGGCTGCTGACTCAGGTTTGAGGTGAATTTCTGTTAGAAAATGTTACCCTTTTTTTTGTTAGATAAATTTGTACTTGAAAATGGAAAAGAAGCCGAACAAGAAGGAGGAGCTGACATTAGTAAACAATGTTCTAAAACTTGCTACAAAATTACTCAAGGTAAGAATAAGAATGGATTACCATCATGTGTACCTAAAAATAGATCTTCCTCAGTGTAGCATCAGTTCTTGGTGGTGGTCTTTCTTGTTCTCCTCTAGTTCACAGTTCTAATGATTTGCTATTTTTTAAAATTGACACTTCTGAAGGATGAGGCTTTAGGGAAGGTTTCTGCCAGTACCTGCATGAGCCAGGTGGGGAAGCCTCATTGACTTATCTGGTCCACAGGCCAAATGTTCCCCATATCTGTCCTGAAGCATCATCCCGGTGAACCACCAATTTGACTCTCCAGAACTTGGGGGGAATTTCTTTCAGTGAAGTGAAATTTCATAGTCCTCTACTCACAGAAAGATCTTTCTGATTCCTAGGAACTGGACAGCCCCTTCAGGTTATATGGGTTGACAATGAATCCTCTGCTTTATAATATCACACAAGTTGTCATTCTGTCTGCTGTTTCTGGTGTTATCAGTGACTTGCTTGGATTCAATCTAAAGGTACCTTTTCTCCTTTTCTGTCTTAATTAGTAAATAAGTTCAATATTTAAGAAACACAGTAACCACCTTTATAAATATAAATGATGAGCATTTGGTTTAATATGTTTATATGTTCATTTGTTTTTGGAATAGATTTCCAAAACAATCAATAAGAGAACATATAATAAAATGTGTTCATCATGACATAGCTTACTGTAGATCTTAGTGCAGTGGCGGCACACTATTTGAGCCCTAGAGGGAAAGACTCTGTGGTAGGTACATGCTTTGCTTGCAGTGTCAGGTACCATCCCTGCTATCTCCAGTTAAAAAAAAAAAAACAGTAGCAAGTTATAAGAAGTTCCTGCTTAATTCCCTGGATAGCCACTGTTAGCCTGGACAATGCTGGGGTCACTGACACAAAGCACAGCATAAGAGCAAATTACAACACTGCAGTTGAACTTGGAACTGAATATGTTGTCTCATTCCTTAACTTTCAGCTCTGGAAGATCAAATCCTGACCGTTTTCAAAAAGGAGATAGGGAGAGAAGAGGACTGGGTGACTAAGCTGATTCAAAGCAGTTGCTAATCCTGTATTTCAGAAGCTACAATCTCTTCAAGACTATCTGTTGAAAAAACTGAAGTGTTTACATCTGACTGACTTGTGCAATCTTTATATTTATTTTACCTTTTTGCTTTTTTGTAAAGTTTATTTTAGCTGACATTGTATTTTATTTTGAAACATTAATATGCTTTGGTTATGAAAAGGTCAAACAAGGATATCCAGATACTTGAGATCTTGGTAATTGGTTTCATAAATTACTCAAATATGCTTCATCTGGTATGAAAGTTGAAGCTCCGATTCTAGGCTTTTTATACTTCAGAAGTTCTCATTACAACAATGTCATGCTGAAGTCACTTTAGTGAGTGTGTGTTATAAAATGTTTAGAACATTTTATTTTTTATCATTCTTTCAGGGTAGTATCAGAGCACCAGCATATTGTTGGTTACGGTAGAAAGTGATATCTACTGTAATGACAATGCAGTAGGCCAGGGAACTAATGTTTTATAGAGAGATATAAAGAGAGAGAGAAGCATGCAAATGCTGAAGTCAGCAGGTATCTTACTGAAGCAATTCCAGGATCCTAAACACACTGAACTGAAGTTTAAGCATTACTGCATATTAATAAGGTATTATATAGCAGGTCAACAAGTGCTCTTTGATAACATTTTTATTAGAGCAATAACATAAACTGTTACCACACTGTAAGATATTTTGATAAAAATTAGCTATAGTATTTATTTGAAACACTGGGCTGTTTGCACAGCTCTGACTGTGCCGCTCAACATGTGCACTTTTATCGTTCCTTTTAATAATGAACTTTATATATACTAAATAGAATATATTATGGTGGACTGTGGTGCAATAGTGTTACTTTGCCAGATGGATACATTATGTATGCTTAAGAGAAAATGCTTTCCCATAGTACACTGTAGTATATGTGACTTATACCACACATTGACCATAAACTGAACAAGAGCGACCATGCATTATTTTAAAGTTATACAACAAGCCACTTCGGACATTCTAATTTTGAAAGCTCAGTTTTCACCTTGCCTATAAGTAAGTGCTGTTTGGGCTAATTTCTGTTGTGTTTCCTTGGATGACATCAGTGTAAACATAGATAGGAGCTAGCTTTGTGATTCTGTAACTTCAGCCTAGCTCACAGCTCTGTTAGAGGCATGTGTACATAGGACTGAGTTTAAAGTGATTCTAGTGGGGTGGGAATAAATGCTTTTAAAACTGAGGTCAAATCATGGTAATGTCATGTTGTGTTTGACAGGATTTTTATAGAATTTTGAGAATATTATGGCTGCAATTCTATACACACTTCCTTGGGAGTAAGTTGCACTAAAGTCAGTGGGGTTTACTTCTAAATAGATGTGTACAGGATTGCACTGTAAAAGTCATATGTCTTTATTGACACATAACTATTTTTAGTTAGGTGGTTCACTGCTGAGATTGAACCAGATGATGCCTGTAACAGCCTAATTGATGTAGATATATGCTGCTGCAATACAGCAAATCCACATCGAATATGTGGCTTTTGCCTACAGAGGTTTCTGAGACTGTTCATTTCAGTTGGAGTGATTCAACTTTACATGCACAAAGGGATACACCAGGTTGTTTCTTTTTTACGAGAATGGGGGAACCCACATGTTGTGTGTATGCAGAGAGCACACACAGGGTTCTGGAAGGCAAGAAGATAAATAGATTTGAGCTTTTGGATTTGGATTCAATCACTATTTCACACAGGTCTTTTAATATAATTAAAATGCCAAAAATTGTTTAGCTCCATCTATTTAGGCTACTCCATAAAACTGTAAAAAGAAATAATGTAGAAAGGGGCAGGCTTATATTGAGCATATCTAGAATATTCTGCATTGGAGAAAGAGTATTGTGTTTGCTGTTCCCAAATGTCATTCCTTTTGGCAACAGAAACTAATGCACGCAATGGAAAAATAAACCTCAACCTCCTCCCACCCTTCCAGAATAATTGTGACATATCCTAACTTGTGTGGTATAAGATATTTTTATATATAAAGCAACACAATGATTTTATATTTTATTTGTTGCTCTACTAATGTTCAATAATGACCAAAGTGCATTCTGTTGTTGGTTGCTCCCCCACCCCCACAAAGAATGTATTACTGGAGCTTTAAGAACATGCTTGTGTCTAGTTTACCATGTAAAAAATCTTGGCTCTATGATCTGTTCTTCCTCTGTGTTGTCTGATGTTGGGGTTGTGTTTAGGAATCAAGTCTATTTTATATTTTTTCCCAAAAAACGGTACAGAACTAAATAAAACAACATTTTGCACAGAATATATTTTAAGAAAAAAAAAGCAGTATGGGTAAAATATGACTTCACTTCTACAGTCTGTTTCTCTCTCTTTTTTTTTTAAAGAAAGGATAAACAACTGTTCTCCAGAATGATTTTTGTTACAGAATAATCCTATACTTGTCTGCTCAAAAGTAAGAACTAAGTTCAATGGCACTCTAGAGATAGAGTTGTAGGGCACAATCCTATGCATACTTAGAATGGAAAAACTCACAACTCATACCATGCCCCAGCCATGACATGCTGGAAGGTGTAGGTATTCGTCTAATTAAATACACATAGGATTGTGCTTTTATACTAAAATGCTGATTGTGATCTTGTTAGAGGGCAGCAATCTGAGTTCAAGAAGGAAATTCAATTGTTAATACACTGTATATCAGCAACTAGCAATATGCTGGATTGTTGCACTGCTTACAAAAAACCTAATGAGGGCTAACAAATATGAAAAGTACCTCACAATAAAGACAGGTGTGTTTAAATTGTTTCCATTTTGTATATCACTCATACAAGTGAAATGCTAAGCATGTTTTACATTATCTTTTTTTAAAAAAACAGAGGTAAACAGATCTTATTTAACTGTTTTTGACACATGTTTGTAACAGACAGCGTGTTAAAGCTTGGAATAAAACATTCTGTGGCTGATAGAATAAATCAAAGTGTTCAGTTGTCTTTTTACTGTAACAAATTATCAGTGGCCTTCTGGGATAAATAAGGAAAATTGCAAGCACAAGAGCAAGAAATTACAGAGAATAAACAGCATATTGTATGGAGAATAACACAAGTTCTCTCCTTGATAAAACTGGCTGCCTGATCTGTAGAAGAAAAGCATATGCTCCATTACTTTGCAAAATCTGAACATAGAGGTTGCAGACTTCTGGGCTGAAAAGTCTGGTCTCTGAATGGAGATCAGATTGATTGAAGTAGTAGCAGTCATTGCGCAGGAATGAACAAGAAGGGGTTAAAACTTCTCTCACACTCCGCCTTTCATCTCTCAGAAGATCAAACTGACCAGGGCTGTGCAGGCCTCAGCAAAGCTTTCTGCTAACTATTTTGAATGTCTATTTTCCTCTACTGAACAGAAACACAAAGGTAATGAACATAATGAAGTTTCTTTATGCAAATCCATCAAGTTTCCAAAGGTAATTTCATGTGTTGCGATTTTACACACTGAGATTAGTCTGTGTTTATAATGTTACAATGAAGAATGGGTTGTAGAGATTCACCAGGCCATGTGTTTAAGTTAATGTACAGGTTATATTCATGATCCCTTGAACTGCATGAGCATTCTAAAAATAAAATGCAAATTGTTTTTCCCCTTTGTTGGCTGTTAGTGCTGATGCTCTAATATGACACTTTCAGAAGAATGTTCTAAGAAACCTTGGGATTCCTTAAATGCCTTTCATTGATAATATGTGTAATGGTGGATAGGTTTGCCAATTACTACCAAATGTTGCTTGCAGTGTGTAGCCACAGCAGGGGAGTGTTGGGAAGCACTTCTGAGGCATCTTATTTCATAAAGAAATGCAGTAACAGTAACTTAATTTCAGCCTCATTTCTCTACGTTGTGAGGTATTAACTATGTGCAAAATGAGCTTTAAATGCCGCTAAATGGATTTCTCTTCTATTTGGATAAAGGAATCAGTTTTTATTTGCAGGGTCTGTTAACAGACAATGGCTGGACTGTTCCCCTGTTGCAGCTTGTTTGACCCAATATAAAGTATTTTTCACTTTAGTGGTAGCCCTCTTTTATCCTTGTTCAGTCCTTAGAAGCCATTATTTACTAACAGCTCCCAAATGAGCTTAATCTATCTGTTAATGAAAGTTATTTATGTGGGATTAGGTTTCTGCTTTTCTAACACAACCATAGTCCAAAATTCAAAGCCCTGGAGCCATGATAGGGAATTAAATGACTCTCTAGCCTTCTCTTTTTCTGAAAATGCAGCCAAATAGGATTCAACACATTTTAACAGCCCAAATATTTGGTTTTCAATAAAAGCTCAAAATGCCTGTGTCACAGTATTTCAGATTATAGGACTTGAAAATTACTTTTCAAGATGTTCAGAGTAATTGTAATCAGCAACCATTTAATTATATATTCAGCATAATTTTTTATTTATTTATGAATTTGTATGCTGCCCACTAATCCATATGGATTCTCTAGGCGGCTTATAATAAAATGCTAAATACTAAAAAAACCCCACCAAGAATAAAGCCAGTTTAAAATCACAGAAAGTTAAAAAATAAATATCACAATTACACCAAGTAAGCGGAGCAATAGATGTCAGAATAAATAACAAATTTCAAGACTTTTCTTGGAAGTATTCAGAGAAGAGAAAGGTCTTCATCTGTTGGCGAAATAAAACAAGGTTGGTGCCAGGTGAATTTCTTTGGGGAGCTTGTTCCATAATTGTGGGGCACCCACTGTGAAGGCCCTTCTTCTATTTACTGTCCCTTTTACCTCCTTAAGAGATGGTTCTTTTAGAAGGATCACCTGCCAGATCCTAAAGGGCAGGTAGATATATATAGGAACAGATGTTCCTTTAGATAGCCTGGTCCTAAGCCATTGAGGGCTTTGTCCAAGCTTTATACCTTGTTTCAAGGTAATGTTTCCTTAAGACCACTTAAAAGGTAAAAAATTTAAACAAAGTGTAAAGAGCAGTTCGGTAAAGCTTTTTAAAATAACAGTAAAATCTACACTTTTCAATGATATGGGCATGCGTTTATTTAAAAACAGTCTGAAACACCTAAGACCTGACAAGAAGCAACAAATGCACACCCAGCCTGTGAAAGGACATTCCATAATGATGTGGTGACCACAGATCCTATCCTCTGTACCCTCCCTCTCAAGTGTTGATCTTAAGACCCAGGCAGGTTCATATAGCTGTAGGGGGACTCTCATAACAATGTAGCTCCAAGCCACGTTTCTATTTTAGCAGGCCTGGAAATTACTGGTACGAAATCAGGATTGTAGGCTCTCATCTAGCTCTTGCAAAGCATCTGGTGCGTTCTTACCAGTGGAAGCATAACTTTGTTTAAAGGCAGAGCCACACAGAGTGTAATCTAACCTGAAAGTAACAAGAAATGGATGACTAACAAGGTTGGCTTTCTGCAGATGGAGATTTAATACCTATGCTAAGTCTGTAATAAGCACACGCTTCCTTTTTTCTCCTACATCCATTTCTTTCCCCTATCTACTCTGTTGTGTTGTTTTTCCGATTGTAAGACCTTTAGGACAAGAACCTTTCCTCTCATGTCCTTGCATGTAAAGCAGCACACAGATTGGATATGAGTATGCCTGGTTATCAGGGCAATTTATACAGCTCTATCCCCTCTTTTTCCTTCATCAAAGAACCCAAGGTAGCTTACCTGGTAGTCCCCTCCATGTTATCGTCACAACCCTGTGAGGGTCGTGAGTGCCAATGGCTGGCCCAAAGTCAGAGAGCAACCCTAGGGCTGATAGGCCCTGGATGGCCATAGAGTAGGTCAGAGGCCTGGCTCCAGCCATGGCATTTGTTCCAGCTGGGAGAAAGATTGCAGCTGGGACAATCCTCACCATGCCCATCCTCCACCCTTGCTGTGCTGGCTGCCTATCCAAAGTTGCAAGTGTGACTTTGGAGCCAGTGCAGAAGGAGGCTGTTCCAAGGAGTGGGGAGAGGAAGAATGAGGCTCTGCTGGGGTACAAGAAATGAAGCTGGTATCTCAGCCCTCCTCCTCTGAGCAGGGGGCAACTAACATAGCTCCAATTCTTCATCTGTGACCATTGCTGAGCAGGAGAAGTGTGTTGGCCTTGCAGAAGACTTGCTTCTGTGGGCCTCCCATGCTAGAACAAAATCTGCATTTGGAAGGCAACCACTTTCGGTGGTGCCCTCACTGAGCTTCATGGCTGAGTGGGGACTAGACTCCACCACTCTGGCTCTCCCTGGGTAAGCTCCAAACAAATATTCTGAGCTTCCGTAAGATAAAATTTCCCCATTGGATTTTAAAGAAAAAATAGAAACATGTCATTGCTAGAGCAAAGCAGTGTGCTAGAACTTTCAATGAGTTGATGCCCAAATCCTTTCTCCAAACAAATAACATGGTACAAATGGAGAATTTAAGTCAACAAAAGTAACTCCAGCAAATTCTAGGGGTAAAACCTGACAATATCTGTCAAATTTCTGCAGGTTGCTCATCAAGCATTCAGAGAAGCCGTTTCTTACCCTTTCTAAAGTCTGTCTTCAACCACTATTTCTTGCCAAACTTCAGATTAATCCTTGTACTCTTTTCTGAGTCAAAGCCATGAACCCTACGGACACCTGTGCCACTCCAGCTACCATGTCCCTGGTTGTGATAATGGAACGAAATTTCATCGTTTAAATGGGACCACAAGTATGACCACAACCATCTACTCATGGTCATCAGGGATAGAATGTGGCCTTGATGTGCAGTTCAGCTGCCTCCCTCAGACTTACCAGCCACCTGAAAGTTACTATTCTCTGCAGCCTGTGATCCTATACCCTGGAATCACGAGGGGAGGGACCCATTGTATTCCCCATCCTCTTGACACTTCAATGTCAGTTTAACTTCCCGCATATCAATGAATGAGTGCTATTATTCCCCATGGCAGGAAAGTATGTATAGCTTAGCAGGTGGAGATAGTGTTGCAGAGCAGAAGGGACTGCCTTCATGAGCATCTCCTAGCCGGCCACCTTATGGAATTCGCAAGTTAACCCTCTGAGCTAATTTGGTTTGTTCTCCTAGGCATAAAAGCAGATCAATAAAACAGATTTCTTTGAAGTGTGTTCTATGCTGACTTTTCAATTAAAATGCAGCACTCAAGGGGCAATTGAGCAAGATAGCCTAATCTTTTCTGCACAGTGGGGCACTTACTTTATATGCAAGGCAGGCAATGACAAGATTGCTTAACTCTGCACTGCAGGACATCCAGGAAGATGTTCCCCAGACTCTGACAATTCTAAATCAGATATATTATCTGCCAGGAAGTTGCTCCTCCAGGAAGACAGGGCCAAATACATCACAGCCTAGTTTTATCTGATATGTAAAATAGGGACAGGAGAAGAGCACCAGCAAATATCAAAATAGTAATGTTGAAGGGTTCTTCTGTAGAACTGCAAAAACACTCTTTTCTTAAAAATGAAATTTAAAAGCTGATATCCAGACAAGTGAAAAAGTGCTGCTTCCACAGATGGAGCATATTTGCATAATTTCTCCTTGACTTAGCTGTTCTACCATTCTTATTCAGTGTAATGTATTTTGAAAACTTTCTTTGGCCACCCCCCTCCCTCATGCATGTTCAAATACATGTTTGCAGCTCTAAGGACTGGCATTTCAGGGGATTCCTGGGCAGTTGATATATGTTTTCTCCATAGATTTGCTGTGTATTCACAATGTACATTCTGCATTCCATATGGTAGTGCCAATATTTACAGTGGGCTATTCTGCACAAGTGCCTTGTACAGTAGTGTTTGGCCTTTCAGGAATGTGGGAGCCAGTGTGGTGTAGTGGTTAAGGGTGTGGGACTGAGACTTTGGTGTGCCAGCTTCTGGTCCCCACTCAGCCGTGGAGCTCACTGGGTGATTATGAGTCAGTCATGGACTCTCAGCCCAATCTTCCGCACAGAGTTGTCGTTGTTGTTGTTGTGAGACTAAGAT